ATAATTTTATATTTAAGAATGCCTTATACGTTAAAACTTACAAGGAGTGCAATAGCAATGAGTCCTGCCGGTATCTCAACGAGTCCAGAGAGGAAGAAGCCAGTCATCTTATCTTCGCTCAGCTCTGTAGAGAACAGCGACAGGGCCCAGTATGTACCGTTCATCACAATCCTGTAATTCCAGTAGATGATATACCATTTTCATTGGAATTCACCACCTTTCAAATCAAATTCACCACACTTTTTGGAGCGAGCAATTCATCAACCAGATCACGCCAGACACCACTGCGAGCCCCGCCCCGACGGCCACGCCTACTTGTCAGCGCGGACATAGATTTCTCAAATCTTGTTTCATAACTTCTGCTTCTATGACTTTTTTTGTATTTTGCTGTTCGCACATACACTGCTGAAAAGGGCTGGACATTGACACATAACCGACTCCGCCCATTTTTAAAAAAATTGTTACGAACTCCGGATTTTCATAATTTTTTCGGCTTTTTTCATTTCACATCCATTCTTCACAGAACGAAGTTGCTCACAGACGCGCGTTTGCCCACCGTCACATTAAGCTCCGCCCTTTAGCCACGCTCACTTTGCATCTTCTTGCGAAAGATCTTTCTTCAAAACTCTCACATTTTTTGACTGCCACAGAAAGCCCGCCCATCATGAGAAGCTCCGACCACCCTGCGAAAGCTTCGCACTCTTGAAAAACGACTCGGATCGGCAGTTTAGAGTCTGGACTGACATGGTGAAGCCTCGCACGTTAGTCGGAACAAAGTTTGTCTGGTCTCTCGTTCTGCGTGGTGAATTTGGTTTGAAAAGTGATGAATTTCAAATGACAATAGCATATACGTTGAAATGGCGAAGTGAGCAGCTATGCTAAAACGGACTTTATTTTAAAGACATGTTCCACGCTGACTGTATGGGCGGAGTCCGCCACCAAGTACACTCCCTTGCGGTTCCTGTCTCGAAAAAAGAGAGATGCCAACAAGGTGTGTTCAAAGTTGGCTCAACACCGAGCACATGAGTAGCGTAGCCTATGGCTTTCAAGAATGTGAATTTAGAAGAACTCACAGAATGTACGAGTTCATGATGAGATGTACAACTAGGCCAGGGTTCTTGAACATGTCAAAGAATGTCCGCTTCTTGCCTTCAGGTGCCAGATTGCTGGTCGATTTGCATTCATGCAGGGGAATTTCGACACGATTGAAACGAGATGAAGTGCGAATGTACCTAAGTTGAGGAAAACCCTAACAACAGCGAGAAGGTAATTCCCTGAATGGAGCCAAAGATGCTATTGAGATAAAATAAGAGCAACACCCACTTAGAAACGCCTTTGTTTTTCCTGTTCGTTATGAGCCAAGTGAATAGACTCAGGCGTAAACCTGAAAATTTCGCATGATCAAATAGTCAGTGAATAATTTCCAAGCGGAACTTCTAGAAATACCATCCCAAGAAAGCCGTTAACTCACCAGTAGTAGGGTATTGTAAGGAGTCCAGGAACGGAAACAGCGAAATACAGCCATCGCCAGTTTGAAATAAACAGTCGCAGTACACCAGCGGCGATGTAACTGGAAATGAGCACAGAGTGGAGAATAAAATTAAAGCGTTTTAACATTTTGGGAGTAGGCCGGTGTATAGTGTTTATCTTTGCCCAAAATCGTACTTTTTGAGTGTTTTATCTATGTGAGTGTTCTACTTTGAGCGACAAGTGCTTTTGAGGCAATGAGGGACCCGATAGAATCTGCTAAGCAAACAAACACTGAGGAGCTGTTGTCGCGACCATACAAATATAGTCCTGTTCTCTGCGGATGGTGGCGCGTGTCAGGGGGCTGTGTTCGGCGCTGTGCTAACTCACTCTTGTTGAAGAGGGCAAGCAAACAACAACTAATTGAAAAGAGGCTGCTGTCATGACTACACTCCAGAGGCGAGATTACTGAACGGCGCTTCGACAAACGATGCACGTGAAGACTTACCGGCAGTAAACCGCCAGTGATGGTGGTCCCATCCAACGGGATCAGGCGAACGGACCAGCTCCAGAGCGACGATTTCCCATACATAAAGCCCAGCGATCACGAGAAACGCTGAAATACTCGAAGAGTAACGACGAAAACATAACCTTGTCTTGTAAAAGTTTTCTGTGGCTGCCACAACTCCACGCGTACGTGGCCCACTGCCAGCAACAAATCTGAAGATGAGGAAAATCATGTAGTTGGGCGCAATGGCGCAGATCAGATTTGAGGTAACGGCCACGTAGAGAGGGATGAGGAAAGTGAGCCGGCGACCGAAAAGATCGGAAAGTTGCGTGATGATCGGAGCTACGAGCATACCGCCTGAAATTTGCTTTGTTGTTTCAGAATATCAAGAAAGATAGTTATTTCTACTCTCTCTCTCGCCTCAGACATGGTTCTCGCTGACCATAATTTGTTAGCCTTCAGTGGAGGATGAGAATACTAGTAGGTAAATAAGGTGGTGAAAAGGATAATAAAGGATAAAGGATAAAGTCTTCGCCGTTGATCAATCCCTTTGTGGGATGCGGCACGCATTCTACTTCCATTCAGAATCGTAGTGGCTTATTGAATGCGATGTGGCCTATACAATGACTTGCGGGGGCCAGCCGATGTACAAGTCAGTGTTTTATCCTCCCAGACGAATCTGGTACCAATTTACCGTCCCCGGAGGGTAGAAGGCTTGGTTGGCCTGGGCGGGTGTCGACCCGGGATTCGAACCCGGCGCCGCGCGAGTGGTAAGCGCGCCACTTGTCACTACACCACCTCCGCCTCACTATTAACTCTAGGAAAGATAATAAAAGATGAAAATAGATAAACAGGTGGTGATCGGTGATAACATGACCTTGCAAACGTACCGAGCATAAACACCGAGGCACCGTGTTCGACTGATTCATAGTTGTCACAGACCAGGTTGAATTCGGACGCCAGTGACTGGTGATTTGTGTCGGAGTAGTTATACCTAAAAGCTGTCCAGTCTGGAGCTTATAGTGGTTGCCTATACGAACATTACTCTTTATTTATTTATTTATTTATTTATTTATTTACACCATAAGGTGTGCCACAAATTGCTACCCTAGGATAAACGCGCTGAAACTAATATTCACTAAAACAACTGAGCAGGCATGAGAGAAGGATGCACACGTTATTCCACTACTTCCTGAGAAGAGAAAAAAGGATTATGTGAAGATTTTAATTGAAAATTTGTAATATAATCCTCCCCTCGATAGTTGACTTCCTTGTCATTTATCTATGAAAGATTTCTAATCCCAATAAGATTCCGGCAATCTGAGCTTATCACAGAACAATAAAGGGCTCAAACGCATTGCCCAAGGGCATATGATCACAGGAAAGGCGTCCAGTTGTTTCTGTCGTTACAACACTGTACACTTATCTACGACTGTGTAATCCTGGAAGGAAGCATTGATTATTTTCTGGTTTCTAGTGCTCTGGTGGACATACCTCTGCTCATGCTCACCCAATTCGTAGAATTCCTTCCTTACCTAAGCAGTTCAGTGCGTAATGTCAAACAGTGAAACAGGCCGTACGATATAGCGCACACATCTGCAACTTATACTGGAGGCAGCGCGTTCGTCACTCACTGGCGGAGCCGCGAAAGTAGGACAATTTAGCAATATGCACCGGACTGCTTGGGCAAGATGGAATATTACGGATGGAGCGCGGGTCTGCTCTTCAGCTGCATTCATACTTTGCGACAGAGTCCACCAGCGACCATCAGCGTTTCGAGCGTCGGTCAGCCTCAGCGACTAGGGAAGTATGGATATCGATAGCGTTCACCAGCGACCATCAACGTCTCGAGAGACTAGGGAACTATGGATACCGATCTAGCGTCTACCAGCGTCTGCTAGGTCCACCAGCGACCAGGAGTAGAGAGTACCGGGAACTAGGAGGATGGCAGACTGTTGGTAGACCATGGAGAAGAAGGATGAAGGAGATAGCTGGATTAGGCG